ACATTATTTGCCAGAGTACTCTTTAGTCTGAGGAAAGGGCCTTCTACAGAGAATGTACAGTTTATGTCAGTTAACAAAGAAGTCTGGGTAACTTGCTCTAGGAGACCATAAACTAAGTGGAATTTTAAAATGTTAGTGTTGTTCTTATTTTTCTTTTTTAAAGTAAAATAACTTTAAATTATATTAAATTATATTTTTGATTAAAAACTTGAAACTGTGGTTAAAAGTTGGAATTTTAAACAATGAAAATAGGCAAGGTGCTAAGAAAAATTTAGTGTCACCTGAATTGGCAAGGACTGTGGTAGCCATGGGATTGTCCCCAAAGATCCCACAGTGAACTTGACAGCAAAGAATGGTTTTGAGATCACTGAGGCAAACTGGCTCCTTAAGCTGGCAAAGTGCTTGTACCGTTTTATCTACATCTCAGGCTTATTGTGAGGATTAGCTGAGATAATATATATAAAATTATTTAAAATCCATAAAGCATCATATAAATGCAATGTGACTAAAATATATGTCCTTGAGAATGCTGGGTGATTCATCCAGTGTCCCTACATAGTGTCACAAAGAATCATAGTCTGTGTTTTTAAAATCATAGAAATGTTATTGAAGAAGTTATAAGCCTATTAAATAAGAGGCCTCAGGCAGGCAGATGTAAAGTTGTCATTTTAAGTCAAGGAGAAGAATCTCACTGATTGTTGTATCATATGGAAAGGAAGTTTAGTTGTCGATTTCTTTTACAGTTTAAGTGAGTAACCAAGCTGAATATCCCCCTTTGATTTAGGAACGGTTGATACCCCATCTCTACAAGAAAGAATACAAGCCAGAGGAAATCCTGAAGAGGTATATCTAGCATTTAAAATGTATTGAAACCTTTGGTTAATAAATACCCTCTTCCATCCCTATAGCAGACAAATTCATAGAGACAGAAAGTGAAATGGTAGTTGCCAGGGGCTTGGAAGGAGGGAAATGAGTAGTTAATGCTTAATGAGTAGAGAGGTTCCATTTTGTAAGATGAAAAGAGCTCTGCTTGGGAAGCTGAGGTTGAGGGATCGCTTGAGCCCAGGAGTTTGAGGTACAAGAGTGAGGTATGATCACAACACTGCACTCCAGCCTGGGCAACAGAGCAAGACTCTGTCTCTAAGAAAAAATAATAATAATAAAAATAAGAGTTCTGGAGATGGACACTGGTGATGGTGGCACAACAGTGTGCATGTACATAACACTATTGAACTACTATACACTTAAAATGGTTAAGATAGTGAATTTTATATTCTGTATACTTTACCACAACTTTTGAAGATGAAAAAAATAATGCCTTCATCCTTTAATATTAGCTTTCTGATCTGTCACAATATCTGTGGGTTTTAATATAACACAAACAATTAACTTTGGCAAAAGAATCACCATAACCCTAGCTGATTATTCATCAAGGCAGCAAGCCAGTGGATTCTCTTGCCTTTAACTCCTTGAAGAAGATGCAGGTGAGCAGATACAGCTGCTCCCATCACTGATGTCTGTATGGTCTCTGGTCACAGGCACGGAATGATTTCCTGAAGAGACAAAAGACGGGAAGATTTGCAACTGCAGAAGAAATAGCCATGCTCTGCGTGTATTTGGCTTCTGATGAAGTAAGCGCTATTCTTCCCAAGGAGTTCATTGTCCGCAATCACATTTGACCACAATTTGCTCATCAAAATAATATCATTTTAGAGAGTTTATGGCATATATATGCTAAGATGCTACATTTATAAGATAGGGATAAGTTCTCATTTAATTTGCTCAAAGAAAGACCACTTTGATCTGAGCCACTAACTCTTCCTTATTCAGCTTTACATAAAATCTTGTAGCAAACAAAAAGGAGGACTAAAAAAGTTAAAGTGCTCAATTTTCTGAGAGACAGTTCCTTTCAAAAATTATAACTGGGGAAACCCTGATTAAATTCAAGTCAAACAGGCCGGGCGCGGTGGCTCAAGCCTGTAATCCCAGCACTTTGGGAGGCCGAGACGGGCGGATCACGAGATCAGGAGTTCGAGACCATCCTGGCTAACACGGTGAAACCCCGTCTCTACTAAAAAATACAAAAAACTAGCCGGGCGAGGTGGTGGGCGCCTGTAGTCCCAGCTACTCGGGAGGCTGAGGCAGGAGAATGGCGTAAAAACCCGGGAGGCGGAGCTTGCAATGAGCTGAGATCCGGCCACTGCACTCCAGCCCGGGTGACACAGCGAGACTCCGTCTCAAAAAAAAAAAAAATAAAAATAAAAAAAATTCAAGTCAAACAAATGAACCTCTAGGATTTTAAGAGCTTTAAGTGAAATGGGGAGAAGATTAAGCAGATTTGTGTTCAGTGGACACAGAATTGGCATGTGGTGTTTTAGTCTTACTTGTGACTTGTTTGGGAGAATTCCACTGGCTCTTTTTTCTCTATTAATTCTTACTTATGGCCGGGCATGGTGGCTCACGCCTGTAATCCCAGCACTTTGGGAGGTCGAGGCAGGCGGATCACCTGAGTTCCGGCGTTTGAGACCAGCCTGGCCAACATGGTGAAACCCCGTCTCTACTGAAAACAGAAAATAGCCGGGTGTGGTGGCAGCCCGCCAGCTACTCGGGAGGCTAAGGCAGGAGAATCGCTTGAACCAGGTAGGCGGAGACTGCAGTGAGCCAAGATTGCGCCACTGCACTCCAGCCTGGGCAACACAGCGAGACTCCATCTCAAAATAAATACATATTTTTAAAATTTTTACTTGTTATTGTGTATGGAAATTCCTAATTTAATCTCTTCCACTTTGCATCTGTTTAACAGTTTTTTTCCTTAATGGCCATTGTATACTTTTAAATGGCTTAAGATGAAAGCAAAAATGATGTTTATAAGGTATAAAACACAAGAACCTCCTCCTCCGTTTTATGTCTCTGAATACTACGTGAACAAGGAACTGTAATGTGTGAGAAGAGGGAAGGAAAGGGGACTAGGTGGAAGTGAGGAGGGAACAACTGATAACTCCTCTTCCCAGTAACTTGGTGCACACCAGATAGTTGGTGAATGTGACAAATACAGGGATTGAAATGTTTCCGTAACAGTGCAGTTTCTTCTCAGAACTTCTCCCAATTATTAACAACAATTGTTAATAGCTGGGGAGATTAATAGACAAATGTTTAAAGGAGAAGCACATGAGCCTTTGTGATTTCGCTGAATCCATATCTTCAGAAGAGCTCATTTGATTTGGGTACTGCTGATAAGCTAAATTACCCTTAGTTAGCCAGAGCTTAGGTTACAAAATATTTGGAAGTGTTCTGGCTTGACATGTGCTACAAAATACCTTTGGCTTTTTAGAGGTTTCCAGAGGAGTTCATATGCGTAACAGAGCTTGCCTTTCAAGAGAACTTGGGGGAGTTGGAGGTATTTCTTTGGTAAAGTGACTAATAACTCCCTAGTTCACCTACTGTATATGATCAGCTTTTATATATTGAACTTTTAAAATTTATCTATTCATTATGATGTCCTTACATCCTCTTCCATTGTTTCAGGCTTTAGATGAATTTAGACTGTTTGAGTTTTTATTAACCATTTTAAGTTAGAAGATTTTTAAACTTCTACCAAAAAGATCACTTCAGCCTTATTTAGAAAATGAAAAATTTATGGGAATAAATCAGTAATTATTTTTTAAATCCCTCAGTTTTATAAAGATTTGGATATCTGAAACTAATACAGAATATTTTTATAGCTTAATAGATTATAGTTATTATTATTATTCATGTAAATTTTAAAAACACATTTAGTGTGCTTCAGATCCTAGAATTATCCACTTATATTGATCAACTAAATACATGCTGTCTTTTTTTTTTAAACTGGTCATTAATATGACCATTTTATGACTGATACACTTATGTTCAAAAATTTATTAGTGGCATAAAGCTTAGCTAGTTTTGAATAGTTCTGAGTTTCAAAATGAAAATGTGCTTTTCGTCTATACCCTAATTTGGGGAATGCCTATATATCACCGTTCCTTAATTCGGGGATTCTGAGACCAAATACCTAACAGTGACAGGTGCTTAGACCCCAGCCAGAGGCCATTTAGTTCCAGATCACAGGACACTCAGCAGTTCTCAATCAACCAAACGTTAATTTGGATTTCCCTGAATTAAGTGTTTAAGTGAGGTTTCCTGTTAGGACAAGAGTAAATTGTTTAGTTATCCTAGTCATAGGAAAATTTGAAAATACAGCCTGTATCAAACCTGGTTAATTGTTCTGTCTCCTTGTGTTTATCACTGCAGTCTGCTTATGTAACTGGTAACCCTGTCATCATTGATGGAGGCTGGAGCTTGTGATTTTAGGATCTCCATGGTGGGAAGGAAGGCAGGCCCTTCCTATCCACAGTGAACCTGGTTGTGAAGAAAACTCACCAATCATCTCTTTCCTGTTAATCACATGTTAATGAAAATCAGCCCTTTTTAATGATGTCACTGTTTGCAAGAGTCTGATTCTTTAGGTATATTAATCTCTTTGTAATATCTTCTGAAATCATTGTAAAGAAATAAAAATATTGAACTCATAGCAAGAGAATAGTTTTTAAAATAAATCTCGATTTGTAAGCATCTGTCTTAGTCACTTTGGGCTGCTATAACAAATTACCATAGACTGAGTGTCATACACAACAAACATTTGTTTTTCAGTCCGGAGGCTAGGAAGTGCAAGATCAAGGTGCCAGCACATATGGTATCTGGTTAGGGCCCACTTCCTGGTTTGCAGATGGTCATCTTCTTTTTCTTTTTTTTTTTTTTTTGAGACAGAGTCTTGCTGTCTCCCAGGCTGGAGTACAGTGGTGCGATCTTGGTTCACTGCAAGCTCCGCCTCCCGGGTTCACTCCATTCTCCCGCCTCAGCATAGGAGTAGCTGGGACTACAGGCGCCTGCCACCATGCCTGGCTAATTTTTCTGTATTTTCAGTAGAGACAGGGTTTCACCGTGTTAGCCAGGATGGTCTCGATCTCCTGACCTCGTGATCCTCCTGCCTCCCCACCTCCCAAAGTGCTGAGATTACAGGCGTGAGCCACCGCGCCAGGCCAGGTCATCTTCTTGCTATAGCCTCACATAGCAAGAGCGGAGAAAAAAAGCAAGCTCTTGTCTTTTTATAAGGATACTAATCCTGTTCATGAGGGTGCTACCCTTGTGACCTGATTACCTCCCAAAGGCCCTACCTCCTAATGTATCATATTGGGGGTTAGGATTTCAACACTTGACTTTCGGGTGATACAAATAGCCCATTGCAGCATATACAATTAAAATGTAAATATGAAGAAAAAAAGGAAGCTTATGGGTTTTTTTTTGGGGGGGGGGTGTTAAGGAAGACGATAGTAATTTCAGGACTAGGCATGGTAGCTCATGCCTATAATTCCTGCAGTTTAGGAGGCCAGGGCAGGAGGATCACTTGCTGCCAGGAGTCCAAGACCAGCCTGGTTAACATAGGGAGGCTAAGGCAGGAGGATTGCTTGAGCCCAAGAATTTGAGGCTGTAGTGAGCTGTAATCATTCCACTGCACTCCAGGGTGACAGAGCAAGACCCTGTACCTGAATAATAATAATTTCCACTTTATTTTTCAATATTCAAATATTTTTATGTAATTCTGCATTGTTCTGTATGTAGATCCTAATTTAAAAATTTTACACCATCATAAATGAACAACGGTAGGAAGGAGTTTGGCTTCAATAACTTACAGTAAAAGGAGTAAAAGAGTTCAGCCTCAAAACTATATTGTTGATCTGTTATGAAAAATAATCCAGTGTTTATACTTAACAGATGCCATCCCTTATTAATTAAATACTATTTTCTTAGTCTAAACAATCTTTATTAAAATAAGCAATGATAACTTGACATGGGCCTAAGAAATATATAGTTAGCTAACTGACAATATTTTCAGTTAGAGGGATTTCTTTTTTAAATTAAGTACAGATTTCTTCACCAAACTCCAGGATAACAGACAAGAAGACATAAAATTTGGGCATAGTCTCTGGATAAATAAATGTAAATTTAAATACAAATCATATAACAGGAAACAAATGAAATTAAAGAAAATAAATTTTTCAAGAAAATAAGTAAATTTATGGATGATAATTCTATAACATTGTCAGTGCAAAGTTTTTTCTTTTTATTTTAAGGGTTTTATGTTTGTTTTTTACTTGTTGCAACCTCAAAGGACCAAATGGTATGATACACACTGAGATAATAAATGTGCAGTTATTCTTAGCCTTTTTTCCTCGAACTTTAATATTAACAAGGAAAATTTTGAAATGGACAATGAAAAGATAACACTTTATGTATGGGGAAGAATATCATTCAGTTGATGAAGGTACATTAAAATTCACACAAAGGGACATTTTGACTAGCATTCTGAAAGAGTTCATTGATTATAAGATTATCTCTGAGGTTTTGGACCAGGCATTACACTACTGAATTATGGATAACTTTGATTTGTGATCTAGACCAAGTCACCCAATCTATCTTGGATTTTAGTTTTCTGGTTTATGAAATTAAGGAGTTAAGCTAAATGACTTCGGTTTCTTTTCGTGTATCATAATCAAAATGCTGTAACTTCTCCAATGAATTCACAGAACACTGACTCTTATAAGTAGGTCATGATATACTTTACGCTGTGAGCAGGTATACATGTATAATATATGTATAGATATGAACAAATGAATTTTAAATAAATGCACAATAAATTCTACAAAATGGGCTCCAACATTAACAAATGACCTGAGTTAGTCTTTCTCAGAGCTGACCATAAACTATAAAACATTTTTATAAACACTATCAGCCATAAAAACGAAGTAAAATCTAGCCAAAAAATTCAATCTTCTTCAAAGTCATGTTAATCAAATCAGGTGATAAATTAATGAAGTACATATGACTAAAAGGAAAAATGTATGTCATTCCTGTGGTAAGAGGAAACTGAATGTCACTAGAAATTTTTGCAAGCTTTAGGAGAGAAGAGTTCAGTTTAGGAAAATAATCATTTCAGATGATCTGAAGAAGGGTATTGGATGGGACCTATCCAATAGGTTCATCACAAAAGAGGACCTGAGAGACAAGAATGAATGGTTTCTGTCTGGTGGAGAAATTTGAGGATAATCTCCCTTGCTTGAAAAGCGGTGATTAAGATTGGCACTTGCTTACAGGAGTGAAAAACAGGTAAGGGGTGCGCGCGTCTTCACACACAGAAGAGGAAATACAGAGAAAAGGAAGACACAAACATGAAATGAGAATTAAATGAAATAGAATCACACTGCTGATAGAAGCGTTAAAAATCTAAAATACAGCAAGAAGGGCAGGTGTTAAGCAATAAAGGGGGGGGCAGAACAAGTCTTTTATCCCGCCATTTAATTGGTCACTTTAAGAAAGAATCCTATCTTCCCACCGCAGCTGAGAAGACACTTCTAAGAAGTACAGCTAAAAGGTGGAGGACTGATAAACAACTTAGAGGTTGGTTTCGGGAACGATAAAACAAGCAATGGGCTGCCCGGCCTGCGCCGCGGAGTCCCGAGGAGCCTGCGCTGGGCTCCTCGCGCGGGGTCTCGTCATCTCCGGGAAAACTCGGCGCCTGGGTCTGAGCTCTCTGGGTAAGCTTTCCGGGTAGCTTCCCCGGGAGCTCGCTGGTCCTGGCCGCAGAAGCTTGAGGACCCACCCAGTGAGGATAAGCAGCTGAAAGGCCGCGCGGTGCCGCTTGAGGCCCCGGGACGTGGGCCGGTACGTGGTCGGCCTGGCACCACCTTTCCGGGGGAAGCCACGCGCCTCTGGCATCGCACGCGGCTCTGCACCCGCGCCGCCCGACCCGAAACCCGGCGGAAGGCACACGGGGCTGCCGCTGCGGGCCCCGGACCAGCCCACGCTTACTCCAGAGCCTGTACGGGAACCGACGGGTCGGACCTCCCGGCGCGGAGTCGCCCCGCGGGTATGTGCGAAAGGCGGGGCTGCCTACACGCGGTGCCGCGCCCTGAGGCTGGCTATCTGCAGTCGCCGCAGTCTCCCGGCTCTGCTTGGGACGATGCGCGAACCGGGAACCCCAGAGCGGGGTGGCTAGACCAGGCTCCGCTGCCTCCCCAGCGGCTCCTTTCTAATCGTTCAGACGGAGCCTGGTCGACTCCGCCGGAGACTGCCAGGTGAGAGGCCCCAGAGACACTAAGGGTAAAAATAAACCCTGCGTCCGCGGCGGGGACCCTGCAGGCCTGCTGGGCCGGAGACGCGAGCGAGGGCCCGGCCTTTTCTGTTTATACACCGGGTGACTCGCGCATGCCTGTTTACTGTTGTCAGGTGTTGGCGTGGGTTTTTCTTGCTTGCTTTTATTTCAGTTCTCAGATTAACCAGAGGATGTTGCCTTTGTGGACTGGGTTAGCATCCTCGAGGTGCTAAGAATCATCAAATGCTGTTGACTGAAGAATATAACCTTAAGACAGCAGTAGCTGCTGTAAGAGATAAAGTACAAAATCTCAGTAACTAAACATAGTTCAGGCTTATTTCTCGTTCATGTCAAGTCCATTCACGTGTTCAGCTGTTGGCCTTCTACTCAATTATTCAGGAACCCAAACTCCTTTTATATTATGACTTTGCATCCCCTAAGACCTTGGAGTCCTTAGTTTCCATGGCCTTCTACTCAATTATTCAGGAACGAAAACTCCTTTTATATTACGGCTTTGCCATCCCCTAAGACCTTGGAGTCCTTAGTTTCCAGGCAACGGACAGAAAAAGAAAAGCTATTAGAGGGTTGCATGAGGATTGTTTCTTATGGGTGAGGACTGGAAATCACATACTATTTATGCCCACATCCCATTGACCAGACTTCAGTCACGTGCCACACTGACCTGCAAGGGAGACTGGAAATGTACTATGGACCCAGGCAGAAGAGTAAACGATTTTGGTAAATACGCATCAGTCTCTGACCCTCCCTTAAAGGGCAGGCTGCATCTTGGTCATCTTTGTTACTCTTGTGCCTAGCACACCATAGAAACTTGTTACGGCTTTGGGAGGCCGAGGTGGGCATGTCACCCGAGGTCAGGCATTTGACACCAGCCTAGCCACCATGGTGAAACCCCATCTCTACTAAAAATGTAAAAATTAGCTGGGCATTGTGGTGCATGCCCATAATCCCAGCTATTCCGGAGGCTGAGGCAGGAGAATCGCTTGAACCCAGAAGGCAGAGGTTGCAGTGAGCCAAGATTGTGCCACTGCACTCCAGCCTGGGTGACAGAGCAAGACTCTGTCACAAAAAAAAAAAAAAAGAAGAAGAAAAGAAAAGGATATGAAACTTATTAAGAGATGGGGTTGTTTCTCATGTGTCTAAAATTGAAACTTAACCATAGTTCATTGATTGCTTAGGAATCATTTATCATCCTCTAACGAGATTGCAAGATCTGAATATAGGAACTATTTAAGACTGTTCACTTCTGAATCCTCAGCTCAAGGACTAGGACATAACAAGAGCTTAATAGCTCTTGTTTGTTGAATGAATGAATGAATCTTCAGAGAGGAGAACGAGGGAGACAGTTTGTCAATGTTGGAGTTAGGAAATACTGAGAAGGTGACATTTGAGTTAGATTTTGAATTTTTTCAAGTAGAAAAAGCAGAAATGAAACTCCCGGCAGCAGTAGTAGTGATATTTTATTGCTGTTGTTTTGTTTCATGAGAGGAAATTTGGAAAACAACTAAATGTTTATAAGTCCAAGTTTTCTTCATTCAGTATTCAAATATTATAATTTAACTTCAGGGTAGAGGAGGGGAAATACATAATCTTACAATCCAAATAATTTCTCTTGACTGAAAGAATGGCAGTGAAAACCTTGGCACTAATTTTTAACGTTCTAAAATGTTATTTTCTGGACATTTTTGAGAAATTTCAATACAAAGGCAGTAGTCTGATCATTCATTGTCTATGATGATTTTGCACTGTATCAAGAAGCTAGAGAGATAGAAGCTAAAGTTTATAAGACAGAGGTTCCTCATCACCGCGTTCATCAGGGCTTCTCAGGGATGGTTCTGCAACAAAATCACCTGTTATATTGGTTAGGATGCTTTTGGCTGCAAGTAACAGGATATCCAGCCAAAACTCCCTTCAAAAATACAGATTTACTGTTCTCATACATGAAGATGTTTGAAGGTAGGTGGGTCCAGGGTTTGTTCAGTAGCTCAATAATATCAGGGCTCTAGGTTGCTTTCTGTCTTCAGCTAATCTTGACTTTTCTTCATGGGTGAATGATGGCTGCTAGAATTGTCCCAAGAAACCCATCCACAATCCCAACTTCCCTTGCCTCTTCACCTGGTCAAAGACAAAAAGAGGAGAGGATTTTCCTCCTCTCTCTCTGTCTTTATTAAGAAGGAAAATCTTATGTAATGTGCCCCAATAATCTTGCCTACAAATTCCAATGGCAAGAAATGAATCATGCTCAGTCCTTAGCCAATAAGTGGCAAAGAGGAATGGTGTTACAGAGATTGATTTACACCAATCATGACTTATCCCTAGGGCTGGGGAAGGGACCTGCTGGTATACCTGCATACTTGGCATTTAGACAGGCAGTAAGTCATGTCTGTCCCACTTGGGGTAGATTCAGTCTCTGTAGATTCTGATTTTAGTGGACCTAGAAATAATATTTTAAACTTTTACTAAATCTATTTCACTTTGGTGAGGGGAGAGAATAGAAAGAATGAAAGCAAGTATTGGGTCCCTTCTTATGTAGGGGTAATTTCCTTTTATTCTTATCTCATTATGTAGTGTTTTGCTTCATGAGTCAATGGAATTACTAAATCAATTAACCAAATAAAATAGCGGTTGTTTTCCTGTGGTAACTTGGCTCCATGTATTTGATACACCTAAGTCTTTCAGATAAGGTAGTTCTCATCCAGGGAAATGTTGTTAGTCATTTTAGCAATTAATTGTCTAAGAAAATGTTAAGCCCTACTCTGAGCCTGATCTGAATTCCTCGTTGCTGGGTAGGGCTCCTTTTGGAAAATGAGCATTAGATCAGTGTTGTTCAGCAAATACAGAAACTGGAATGTTTCTGTATGTTCTATATAGAAATACTATATGAGACTAAGAACCTATACGTTCAACACATGAATGGATGAACACAAAGGTAGGAGATTATTGTTATTACGATCATTACAGAGTATTGAACAATCACAGTGATGCACTTTCAAAGGCATGAATACAACCCAGAGTACTCTGGCAATGTCTTAGTCCATTTTTGTTACTATAACAAAATACCACAAACTAAATAATCGAAATTTATTTCTCATAGTTCTGGAGGCTGGGAAGTCCAAGATCCAAGTGCCTATTAGATTTGATGTCTGATACGGACTTGATCTCTGCTTGTAAGATGGTGCCTTCTTGCCATGTGTTCTTCACATGGAGGAAGAGACTAATGCTGTGTTATGCATTAGTCTGGTGGAAGGGAAAGAGCCAAAGGGACTAGGCTGCTCCCTTTGACCTCTTTTATAAGAGCACTAGTTCCATTCATGAGGGTTGAGTACTGGTGACTTAATCACTTCCCCAAAGTACCTCCCTCTTAATACCATCACCTTGGCAGTTACATTCCAAAATCTGAATTTTGGAGGAACACAAGCATTCAAACCATAGCAAGCAATATATGTAAATATTCCATAAGATTACCCCTTTAAATGTCAGCCTATCCAAATCACAGGTGGCAAATAGCAAGAATAAAAAGTCTTTATCCATATTTTTTAGCGGTAACTGAAATGATAGCAGTAAGTCTATTTTACTTGACTGAGAGCCTATGGACATTTGCAAGTTGATAGTTTCTTTATTTCTTCTGGAATATTACAGAAAGTACTTGTAAACATTTAGATTAGTAAGATAATTTGAAAAAGAGAACATTTGACAAATATCTCTCTATGTGAAAACATATTTACAGAAATGGTTTCCAAAGTATGCTTCACTTGCCAGAAGGAACAGGGGTGAGTAGACAGGGCTCCTGCAGCACCGCCTTATTCATTCCATTTGTAGGATTTAAGGATTAGGTTTCATTTGATGGAAGATATTTGACATAAAGATATAAAGACCAGGGCCAGGTGCGGTGGCTTATGCCTGTAATCCCAGCAGATCATGAGGTCAGGAATTCGAGACCAGTCTGGCCAACATGGTGAAACCCCGTCTCTACTAAAAATAGAAAAATTAGCTGGGC